AGGAGAACAAAAATAACCCTGCTTCTGATTAAAGTAAATAGGAACTTGGGGATTTAAAAAAAAAAAAAAAAAAAGGTAAAATTACTCCAGCAATCCTTTAAGTTTTTCTTAGAGTTGCTGTGATCCAAAACAGTCCTGAAGAGAAGCTCCGTGTTTGCTCCTGTTTCTAAAGGGAGGCAGAAGGTGTAAAACTTTCCCAGTGTGGAAGGAATCCCCATCATAGCCTGCTTGCTGGGCAGGGAGTGTTGTGTGCCTGGTTTGAGCTGATTGCCCTCCGTCAGGAGCAGACCCTGTGGAAGCAGCTGCTGCTGCCGCTGCTCCGCTCGCACCACGGACAACCCTCGGACAACTCTTCCCTCGGACAGCCAGAGCCGTTGGCTGCACTGCTGGGGGGGATCCAGCTGTTGGGACTGCAGTGTTTGCAGAGCCGTTGGCTGCACTGCTGGGGGGATCCAGCTGTTGGGACTGCAGCGTTTACAGAGCCGGTGGCTGCACTGCTGGGGGGATCCAGCTGTTGGGACTGCAGTGTTTACAGAGCCGGTGGCTGCACTGCTGGGGGGATCCAGCTGTTGGGACTGCAGTGTTTACAGCTCCTGTTCTCGCTGCACAGGTCGGGATCTGGGCGATGACAGCTCCAAAGCAAACGCCGGCCGGGAAGCGCGCTTGGAAACCAGTTCTTCGTCGGACGGGATAGTCCTTCCCTTCTCCAGGTAAAGGCGTTGGATCTGTAAGGTTGGAAATGCTTCCACAGCATGACACACACTGACAGGAAACCATCAAAGCTCCCATGACTTTTTTTTTTAATTGTTTTTTCTTTACTTGAACCTGGGTTGACGTTTGTGTTTCTGTCTGTGTAACAGCACGGAGGGTTTGAGCGCCTCAGGAACTGTCTGTGCCACAGCCAGGTGTGGTCTGGCAGCTGCTGTTCCTTGTTTAAGGCTCAGCTGACATCCCTGTGAACCACAGCCAAGCGTGTGCAGCTGCTTTTGGTGTCAGCTCAGGGCAGAACAGGGAGGATCAGCAGAGGGGCAGCCAGGGAGTGTCTGTGTGTGCCCCTCTGTGTGTCCGAGGTGTCAGTCAGGTGTAACTGATAACGCTGCCTGTGGCCTCAGCGGGGTTGTATTTAATACTGGGTGTTTAGAACGTGCCTTTCCTGCTGTACCTGAGGGGTGCAGGGTGTGCTGGTTCTATTCAGAAAGGAGAGAAAAGGGGGGTTGTGTGTGGTAACCTTTGGGTCCGTGGGCAGTGCTGTTGGATGCTCCTCGTGCTCGTCACTGGTACGGGACAGGGATCAAACCGGTGCTCAGGAAGCAGCAGAAAATGGGGATAATGCAGCTGGCTCCTGGAATGCTGGCCAGGCTTCTGGGCCTTCTGTGCCCCTGTAGGAGCAGCCCAGCAACATGGGTGCTGTGGCTCCAGCCCGAAAACCGCCGGGGATGGCTCTGGGGAAGGGACTGCAGAGCCCTCAGGCAGGTTAGGAACTCCCCCCATGTCCATGACATGGAGCTTCCTGCAGGTTTTTTAGGCTGCTGTGGGTGAGGCCAGGTGCAGTTCTGCACTTGGTGTTAAAATGAGAGTGTTTCTGTAATTCAAGCCCAGTACATACAGGCTGTAACCAAGTACTGATGAACAGCATTCCTGCTTTTGTGGGGGATTGGTTCTTACTATCTCAGGTTCAACTTTTTTCTCCTTTTTTAGATTTGTTTGGGACTATGACAGTGATGTTCCAAATCATCCTACTTCGTGCTATAAAGTGCAAGGGTGCTCCTGTAGCTGAGTTTTTGCAGTGTTGAATGTTAGCCCTTCCCTGAAGCCTGGAACAGCAGGAGGAGCAGGATCAGGCCCTGAGAACTTGCTTAGGGGATCACTGAATCTGAATAAAATGTGTTCATTTAAAATTAAATATTTCTTATTAAAAAAAAAAAAAATCTTCTCCAAGCGTTATCCCCAGTGCTGCTGCACTGCTGGCTAACAGTGCCTCCAGCCACTTCTGACTCCATCAGATGCTGTACATTTTTTTTTTTTTTTTTTTTTTTTTTTTTTTTTTTTTTTTTTTTTTTTTTTTTTTTTTTTTTTTTTTTTTCAAATTCCTATTTGATAGATAGATTTCAAATCATTCCCTCTGCCCTATAATTTCAGGCCTCTCGGTGCTCAGCAGCAGCACACGTCGTGCACCGATATGCGATGACGCTGCCTTTAAAAAAAACCCCGTAATAAATCTCTTACAATGGCTTAGAGTTGGCTTTTCTAAATGACTCCGAGCCAGCACAGCCTTCCCAACGCGGGGTTTGGGAACAGCCCCTTGCCTCTGGACACCCAGCCCCGGCTCCAAAGGAGGGAGGAAGAGGGAGAGATGCTTGCAGCCAGGCCCTGCCGCGATTCCTGGGCTCCCTGCAGCCACTCCTCGGGCTTTATTGCTTTCACAAGTGGTCTCAAACCCACTACTTGAGAATAAACATCCCTGCGAGCTCGGCCGTGGCACTTTATAAATTCTCCTTTGCCGCGTTTTGTCACTGAGCTGATGAGTGACCCCGGCGCAGACCCCGCCGGACCGGAATAAAAACCGTGGCTCCTCTGATGTCCCCCAGACAATAATTATCATGTGCCAGTTAAGCCCAAACTACAGCTGAGGGATTTTACTTTAAAGCGGAGGCTCGGGCGCAAAAATGCATTTATAGCTCTTTGTCTGGCACCTCATTATGTGTGGGCCTGATTCATTAAGTAATTGGTTTGCAGTTGTTTACATGAGTATTAAGGCTTTCTATTCAGCAGCCTTTGAGATACACATTGTGCAAATGTTGCATGTTATGAATGCGGAATGAGGGGCCGGGGCCCGGCCCTATTGGCTAAACACTGCGCGCTGTTGAAAAGCAAGAGAAAGACATTGGGTGCTGCTTTGCATAGCAATGACTTTCTTAATAAGCTTTACAGATTGATACACACAAGCTATAAAAGATGCAAAGAGATACTCTTAGCACATTTATCCATGCTCGTTTCACTATTATGGGCCTGGAGAAGGGAAGAATTGAGGGCTTTCATACTCGGGTTTTCAGTGCGTGTCTTCAGTGCATGAGACTTAATAGAATCCGATGTTTATTGTATTATAAATCATGGGGAAGTAGGCAGATCTGCAACAGTTTATTATTAAAGATTCTTTCAATGTAAATCTTTTTCTGCCATTGTATTTCCTACAGCAAAATCATTTTGTGGTTGAGTGGGGATGAAAGGCATAATGTACGACGGAGTGAGTCTTAATAGGAAGCTGCTCTCCGAGTAAAGACCACTTGTTCCCTTTTGTTCGGCGGTGCATGCCACAGCTTCCTCTTCTCCCGCAAACGCCGCCGGCTCTACCTCCAGCGAGGAAGCTGCTCGTCCCTGGCCTCCCTCGCCTTCCTGGGGGAGCGTTTCCACGCAGGGAGACGCACCTTGGGCTGGCAGAATTGGCGTGTTTCGGCGGGGCAGAGGCGTTAAACCCCGCGGCCCTCGGGGGAGGAGGTATCAGAAGTCAGGGCCCAGCCGTCGGCGAGCGCAGGCGGGCGGCCGGCGATGTGTGTGGCATTCCGGGGGGCTGTAGCGATGGATGCAGCCAGTGGAGGTCACTCGTTTTCTGGGAATTCCCCATTTCGGATGCGGGCGGTTTATTTTCCTTTGACTTGTTCGGGGCTGTCTCGTTTCGGAATAATCTGGAGATTAAAGATGTGTTATCAGCTGAGAACCAAAGCGGGGTTTGGGTTTGTCAGGACACCAACACGGTGTGAAGTATTTTAAACTTTGATTAATCTGCTCCGGGACTCCGGGGGGGTCTCAGAAGGCTGGGTTTTGGCCGAAAGGAGCCGTTACCCAACACAGATGTAGTGACATGCAAATAGAAGTTGGCAGGGTCTGATTCATCTCTTAATTACTCTCTGGGCGATGTTGGAGGCGGCCCCGTGTGCTTTGGCCATCGGGGGGCACTCAGGCTCTGTGCATCCCCAGCCTCCCCCCTTCCCAAACCAACCCTGACTCGGGAATCTCTGCTCTTCTCCGAGGAGAGTTCCCAGGGCTTTGGGGCTGGCAGTGCTCAGGGGATGCACAAATGCATTTCTCCTGGAAATACAGAGAAAGTGGCATTGTAGGGGTCTGGATTCCTGGGGGAAGCACCCAGAATCCAGCCAGGATCTGGTTGTTTCACCCCCCTGAGACACTCTGTTGTCAAATGGCTTCCGTAAGAAGCAGACTGAGAATTCCAGCACGATTTTCCACTGTTACAGCTGTTTCTGTGAGCTTTGTTCCCTTCCCCTGAACACCCAGCTGTTGCAGGGACAGGGATGTTGTGGGGGCGATGCTCTGCCAGGTTTGTGGGGAGAGGCACCAACATCTGCCTGCTGAGGACAGAAGGAACAGTGAATTTTTTGGCAATGCCCCTGCTCTCCTGCACAGCTCCCTCACAGCGCTGTGAGGTGGCTTTGTGTTAGTGGGGTTTTCTGTTTCAGCCTGCTGGATCTGAACAGAGAACGGTCTTAGACGCAGCTCGATAGAAATCTTTGTGTCCTAAACCAAAGGTCACGCTACTTACAGTGTAATTACTGAAATTCAATATTATTACTCCAATTCCGGTGTGATGAATGGACTTTTGAATGTGTGCTGACTCTAAATGTGTGTAGTATATGTACTGTATATATTTGGCTTTCCAGGGTGGGGAAATCTCTTGGCACTTGGGATTTCCCAAATGTTTTGGGTGTCTTTTTCACTTGACACTAAAAAAATAGCGGTTCAACAGGTGCTTTAGCAGAAAGGTAATCAGGCCAAAGTAAAAATTTGCTGCTGTTTTCCAGCAAGCCACCTCAATTAAGGTGGCTCTTGTTGTCCTGCTATTTTCCTCTTAATAATAATTTTTCTTATGGAGGAAAAAATATTTTCTTGGAGCTTTTTAATTTCTTACTGTTGCAGCATCTTCAATACAAAAAAAAAAAAAAAGCCTGTTTCATCAGAGAAACGGAGAGATTAAAAGGCCCTTTGAAGTGAAACTGGTTTGGGTTTTTCCTTTGTTAGAGCCTGGGTTGAGTTTGGAATTATTTTAGGGAAGGAGCAAATGTGTAAATGGATCTGGGAGGGTCAGGCCGGGGGATGAGTCGAGGCGGTGGAACGGGCCTTGCTCCGTTGGCATCCCTTGGGATGGTGCGCTCAAGGAATGTTGGAGAAATGTTTGGAGCCCAACATTTTATAGTTTCTTACTGAATACGTTAATAATCAGTGGTATCAGTGTGGGTTTTTTACTGGTGCTGTCACTTGGTCCTGGCACTTACACCTTGGCTGGCATCTTGGGGGAACCTGGGCTGGGTTTAATGTTCTGGGAGTTTCTGTTCACAAAGAGGGAGCCTGTGTGCCAGTGGCATTCACAGCCTGAGGAGAAGGAACGGGATTTGAACAGTGTGAGCTTTCTCTGCGTTGAAAGGAAGAGTGGCTGCACCCTGGTAGCTGCAATGGATGGAACTCGCTGCTTTTTGTGTGGCTTTCCAGCTGCAATCCCAAATTCTGACTTCCAGGGAGTAACACAAGCAAAGAATCATCCCTGCTTTTTTTTTTTTTCTTTGTTTCCTTCACAGATGCCTCCACAATGTTGAAATGTTTTTAACTCCCCACTTTAAGGACTTCTGTATTGGCTGCCACGTTTTCACATAAAACACAGCAAATGGCAGGACATTTCGGAGCTGACTGAGTCCTGTTGTGGCCGTGGCCTCAGCTTCCAACTGCACCTTGACACTGGCTTGTATTTCGCTGGTTGGCCCAGTGATGGCCCAAATGCCTCCTATTTGATCTTCCTTATTAAAATCAGCTGAAGGTTTATTTTTAGGGCTTCTTGCGGGGCTGTTGCTGTACCAGTTAATTCTCCCCCATCGTTGCCCCCGTGCGATTATTCCACAGCCCCAGCACAATGCACGCGCTGCACACAAAGGATCAAAATGATTCCAGCTTGTTTGAGGGATTCAAAAGGGCCTGTGATGCTCCACACACAAGAGCAGCCATTTACCAGAGCAGACTCGGGCTGCACACACATCAAGGTAGATCAAAGGCAGCGGAGATTGCACATTTCCATGGGGCCGGGGGACAGCCGGGAACCGGGAATCGCACGGGGCCAGAAGAGGAAGGGAAGGAAGGAAGTGCAGGAGCGTCACTGGGGTGCTTTTATTTTTGTTTGGATTTTTGTCTTTACGTGCTTGGCGTGCTCTGGAAGGCTGCAAAAGCTCGACAGGGCCCTGCTCCTTTGTACCTTGATTCAGTGCTGGTGTAGGTCAGTGCCCCTACCCGGGAATGACTCCAGGAACAGCTGGACCGCTGTTCCTCCTGCATGTGGTTTTCTCCACCTTTTAGGTGAAGAAACTCTTGATCAAATAGTTATTAAAAAAAAAAGTAGTTACAGAAGTTACTGACACTTTTTTTTAAAACATCTCATATTTTTTAAAAAGCCACTTTTAATCTGTGACATTGTGCTGATTATTGGAAATCTTTTACAGGACTGAGACACGGAGGGAGACGGTAACTGCCATAAAGTCCAAAGGTAAGAGGCAAGTGTTACACTGCTGAAAATCAGTGTCTTGTGTAATTTATACTGTAAAAGCCCTCCCAGAGCTACGTTAGGACCTGTATAAAGTATGGAGACAGGAAAGTGTGGCATTGCCCTGGAGCTGAGGAGAACAATGTCCAGGACAGAGAAGAGGTGTGGGTGGTGTGGAAGGAGATTAAACCCTTTGCAGGGTTTAATCAAATGACCGTGAACTGCAAGTGGAGGAAACCCAGAGAAGGAGAAACCTGATGTTTCCCCGGGTTTCCCAAGGGCTGCAGCGGGACAGGGGTGCAGCTGGATGGTTTTGTCCATCGCCAGGCTGGTTTTGTTCTGAGTTGGTGTCTGGGCCCTGCATGTTTTTGCTCCCCAACATTCCAGGCACTGCCTTTGGACAGCCAGCAGCCCCTGGAATGGTTGGGAACAGAGAGCACAGCTCTGTCAGCCACCGCAGCCTTGACTTCACGTGCCACACTTCCCGCAGTGTTTTATCCATGGGCCAAATGAATTTACATATTGAGGAATCTTTTGGGCACTCTGAATTGTGGGGGGTCTCTCTTGATGTCAGGGAAAGGGTTTGCCAGTTCCCGGAGCTGCCAGTTCAAGCCAAGTCTTGTGCTGAGATGAGGCCTGCCCGGGTCTGATCTGATCTCCAAGTGCTGATTTTTCGCTCGTGATGTCACTGCCATGTTTGTGCCAACTCTGTGATGTCATTTCTCGCTGGTGACTTCACCGCGGGGTCAAGTAGCAGCAGGAGAAAGGGGAAGAGAATAGACAAAGCTGCAATTCAGGCAGCAGCTGGTCAAGTAAATTGCTTGGAGTGGAAATGTTCTCCCCAGCTACCTTGAGGCACAATGGAGTGGGAGTGCTGAATGAACCCGCTGTGCGGGCACGGCCGCTCCGCCCTGGACACACGACCTGGGCTGGGGGCTTCAGGCTGCCCCTCCTGCATCAGCCACGGGGCCTGGGGAGAGCTGTCCAGTGATGGTGTCTGTGACAGAGGGCACCCCCCTTGGGAAGGATTTTACCTCTGTGGTTTCTGTGTCCCCCCCCCGCAGCGTTCTGGGGCGAATCGGACGAGAGCAGCTCCGAGCTCGAGGCCGCCCTGCGCCCGCAGACCCACAGCGCCGACTCGGACGACTTCGATGACTTCTGTGAGTGAGATTCCCTGCTCCTTCTGGGCAGAAACACAAGTGTGGTCCTGCACACAGTGGGTGTGCACCCACGGGCTGAAGCACTGCCCGTCTCTTTATGGGCAGAGGAAATGTAAATACCAAATAAACATCCCGGCTCCTACACGCTGTACGTGTGCTCTCTCTGACCTGCTGTGACAGTAACCCTGCCCCCTGAGATTCCCCTCCTGAGGCTTGTCTGCATGCCACTGTTTGGACTCCAGAGCTAGACGTGCTTTGGAAAGCAGCAGACAGGCATTGTGGGTGCGCAGAGAGGCGCTGCTGGGGTGGGCTGGCTTGTTTGATCTTTATCTTCTTCTGCAACAGATCAAGAAGAAGAAATGCATAAAATGTCCATTTGTAATTCAGCACATTTTGGAACAGAGCAGCATTTACATTGGAGAGCCCCAGTGCTTTCCTGCTTTTCCCTGCTTTGTGAAATCCGTGCTGGTGCTGCTGTGTGGACATCACAGTAATTGGATGACTCTAGGAGCTTCATGCATTTTTAATTTCCTTCTTTTCATTCCTTTTATCTAAAATTAAGTTCATTAAACATGAGATTTTCTTTCGAAGGGAGAAACCAGGGGACATATTAAAAAAAAAGCTGTTCATCATGACGACAAGTTCAAAAGCAGAAACCAGCACCCCAATTAAACTGTGCTGTGCTGCAGCCCCACGTCTCCCACAGCCACCAATCTCCACACTCCGTCCCTCAAAAACAACTTAAAAATGGTGACAACATTGAATTTAATAAAAACACGTAGGCTGAGAGCTCAACAGTTTGTAATAATGGCCCACAGGGGGCTTGGAAATGAGCAGAAACCCGTGGTACAGCCAGATGCTGTGGGTTACAGTCCAGCATTGGTGAGGGTGCAGTCTGGAACGTTCTGGGAATTGGGAAATCAGCTGCACCAAGGACGGAGCCAGGTGAGTCTGGATGAGGTTTCTCCTTGTGCAGGCCAGCATCGCCTGGGAGAGCTGAATCATGCCTGAGCCTAGCGTGTGAGGGTGGGGTGTCATCGCTCCTCGCTGCCTTTTCCTTATCGTCCCTAATTCCTGGGAACTCGCTCTGGATGGCCCTACCATCTGCCAAAGGTGAGCTCCCCAGCATCCCACCACAGACAGGCTGTAGGTGCGGGATGGCTGGGGCAATGTCAGCCCAAGGTTCAGCTGGAAAAGTCCCCCCAGCAGCCTGTGCTGCCACGTGACGCTGCCTCGGATCTGCGGTGTCTGTGCAGCTTTAAGCTCTTCCTGAGTGATTCCCGGCTGTTGATGTCAGCCCGCTTTATATCTCCTGGCATGACACCAGCCTGTGGGGTTCCCATCGCTCAGTCCGGCTCAGCCCCAGACGCGCGGCCCGTGACAGGTGACAGATGGCTGCGGGATCTCTCCCTCTCGGTGTCGGAGCGATAGCCGAGTTCCTCCGGAGCGGCATTTACCGTGCTCTTATTGTGCACAGACTCATTAGATGCAAAACATCCTGCCAGTCAACTCTGCTCTGCTCCTTCACAGCTGTCACGCTGCAGCCGGGGACGATGGCAGGTGACGGTGACGGACGGGGGGACTGGAATCAATACAGCCCAGGCAGATTTCCATCGGCACGCCACTCATCCCTGGAAAATACCCTAATGGGAAGCCTTCCCTGCTCCTGGCGCGGGTGTGCAGTGACACGGCGCTCCGTGCTGCTCTCATGGACACGCAGTTCGCAGGTGGGACCCGGGCTCCTGCCCCGCTGTGGCTGCTGGTGCCTGGGCCGACTTTTCAGGGAATTGTTTGTTGCGGTATTAATTTTTCCAGCACTTGTTTACCCAAGTAATTATAAGATAAGACGATCGCATTTCGTTTGTGTCTGCCAGCCTTCTGTTTCTCTTTGGCATTATCAGAAAAACAACTGATTGCCCATCAATACAAACTAAATGTTAACGCTAAGCTGCCGTACTGGGCACGAAATTCCAGGAGGAGAAGTACTACAATAGGAAGCTTCAATCAGGGGACTGTT